CCATGAAATTTCGCCAAAGAGAATCTAGAACTAAAAACTCGAAGAAAGATACGGTGTGACATTACTAATGATCATTTTAATTGATGGAATTCAACTGTTAGTGTTAACAGTCATCTAATGGAGAATTGAGAAGTAAGCTACGAGTCGACATGCGCAGGCTATTCCATTTAGATTTCTGAAATTCTATCTTAACCCTAGCTTTTGAAACCTCGATTGACGATCAATTGAATGTAAGAGGTGAACTCAAAATCATCACAGAAGCATTTGTGAAACTCCAAAGTAAATCGAGCAAGCAACGATTGCTCCCGCAAGAAAAACCTGCCAAGAAAAAAATACTCATCTGAAGATTGCATTTCTCCTTCCTAATTTCTGAATTGTCTTCTATAAGGGCATGCTAAGTAGAATCTGAATCAGTCAATTCCTCCAGTGTGAAAAATGCTGGGCAGCTTCGAAAGATGCACAAACATTGTGGATTTGATGCCATCCCAGACGAGTCTTTATCTTATCGACGATTCTCTACTGGATACTATTTCTTACTAATTCAACGGTTTCTATGATTGCACAGCATCAACTTTTAGCCACCAGAAAATTACCACAAAAGCACCTGCTTCCAAATCAGTTCGCCGATACGGTGAAATCTCACTCATCATACCAGAACGAACAGATATTCGGGACGTTCACCACCGCCTCTCGAGATCCTGCAACCGATACGTACTGACAGAAACAATTTCCTCATCTTATACTCAAATGAGACTCTTCTGCCACCGGGAAGCATATGATTAAAGGATAAGTGAACCACGATAAAACCGGAGAAAACCAATGATTCAACAAGCAGAAGAGGCTCGAAATACACCTCAGAAGATTTTCATTTAGTGACTTTAACGTGTGACATCTTCCAGAGCCAAGCATCTTAGAGAAAAACGAACAACTACACAGATATCATCTAGCCACTATCCGACCTCAGGTGCGCTCTACCCACTTATCTGCGCCCAACGTATCCCTCTGCACACAAACAACACATATCATGACTCCCTCATGACATATATAACCAAACTCGAATTCAGCATGAAATCATTACGCAATTTACAATTCTATAGAAACAAATCCGAACGCTTTCTCAAACATTATTCGACGCTACGGCCAAACCGCAGCTAACATGGTCCATCAAAGAAAAACTTCTCTTAGCTCAAAACAGATCCTATCGAGAAAAATCCTTTACTTTCAAACTATCCCAGCGGAAACCCTCCAATCACTTTCTCAATATCGACCCAGTTTTATCGAATGGATGGAAAAAGGCAGAAATGAAAAATGTCGAAAGGGGAAAATATCGAAAATAAAAATGTCGAAAGGGGAAAATATCGAAAATAAAAATGTCGAAAACAAGAATATGAGATGAAAATGAGCATGTAAGATTGAATTGAAGGTGAGGGAGACTTATACCACAATATGCTCTCGTTTTCAGCATTTCTATCCATCTACATTTGTATCATTTTTGTTTTCGATATTTTTATTTTCGACATTTTTCCTTTCTGCCTTTTTCCATATACCCTTTGTTTGCATCCATCGATCTGTGAATTTTTAATTTTCCCCTATGACTCTCATAATAATCTTCCAATTCGATTGATTCGATTGAGGATTTCAATTGATTGCAGAGATTGAAAATCGAATGAAGATGAAAATCCGATTTCAACTTTTATAATCGATGTTAACCTCGTAATAATCTTTCAATTCGAATTATTGGATTGAGGATTTCAATCGATTATCATCCGATTATTTTTGAAAAGCGCGAGTTTTTTTTCGAAAAATCAGATTTTTTCGGTGATAATCAAAAATAATCGGGATTTTTTGAAGGAATTTTGTTCACTGGGTGCTCGTTTTTATGATCTTGAGCAGTATTGTGTCGAGAACAATGTTTCAATAAAAGGATGTTTTAAATCGAGTAATTTTGCTGATATTTGAAAGTTTCATGTAAGTGTGCTTCCGACTACAATGATAGTATGATGTTCGTAGATTGATGAAGGCATAAAAATGAAGAGCGTGATCTGGAAAAGGCACTAATTACGAAATTAAAATTATATAGAATATTATCAATCTTGTGTTATATTCAGTTTTTAAATATGTGAACTGACGACGACTAGTACCTTCTAAAAATGCTTCTATATCAGGATAAGTTTTTTTCTCTTATGCGATTCTAAAACTGATTATTTTTATCGTATGAAAATTTTATCTACTAAGCTTTCCTTATCTTTTTATCAGTGTTTGATCGCGATAGTAATGAAAATTCAGTTTTACAAATGATGAAATACAGTGATATTAAATACATTTTGTAATTATTTACTCAAAAGGTATGAATACTTTTAATTTAAACTAGATCATAGTTTTCATTTTCAGCATCAAGATGACAATAGCATACAATTAAACTTATGTTGACCATTCAAATTATATAAATTAATCTCATATTCTACTTATAACCTCTGAAACTGAATAAAACTCTGAAATCATTTCATTTAAATTAGTGTGGATGTTATACTCTTCCAGAATATTAAAGTTATCAGTAAATAACCAGGGGCGTAGCCAGAGGGTGTGAAAAGGGTGCCCAGGCACACCCCTCGGAGTTTTACTCTTGTAAGAATTTTAGTAGAAAATATGGAATTACAACAGTGACATGCATACTTTCATCTATCATCTTTTCAGATGAGTAAACAACTAAATTTGACATATTTTGTTTCATCGAATAAAAGAATCAGACCAAGTTCACCTGATGTTACACAAGAAGAACATGCAGAACCTTCACTATCATCTATTACGATTCTCTATGAATCATGTATTGTATCACCTTCTGAAACCGGTAGTACTTCTGTGGCCAAAAAGCTTAAACTAATTGATCATGGAAATTTAGTTAGTACAGAAATTCAAGCGTATAACAAGAACGATATCGTTTTATTTGTTAACAAGGATAATTTATCAACTGCTGAAATGCATGTCTTGCTGACAGAACCATGGACACCACCAAGTAAATATCAATTTCTACAAGTTAATGTACATCAAGAGATGCGATCAGTTTGTCGACATTCTTGGTTATCCACATATCCATGGCTAAGTTATTCTCTTATTCTTCAAGGAGTTCTATGTCGATATTGTGTTTTGTTCAAATGAAAATGGTCTGCTTATGATACAGGTAAAAATCCTCTTGGTCCACTAGTGTTAAAACCATTGACTTCATTAAACAATGCTCATCATTTTATTCAAACACATGAAAAGACTGATTATCATTTGTTTTCTAAAGAACAAGTTGAAAATTTCATCGTAAATTACATTAATCCCAACAAATCTATCAATCACATATTAGATAACGAAAATTAGCAACAAGAAGCTACAAACAGAAAAATTTTATCAAGTATCTATCATTAAGTGTATTCTTTTTATTGGCAAACAAAACTTAGCCTTCAGAGGCCATGATGATGATGGTATTTCTTATACACTAATTGGTAATCTAGGTAATAGAATTTTGCATTCGAGTAGATGTAATATATGATCTTTTTATTCTGTTAGGAAATTTCAAAGAATTAATTCTTTTTCGTACTGAATGTGGTGATACGGTGTTGGAGCAACACCTGAAGTCTTGTCCTAAGAATGCTATATATATATGAGTCCAGAAATTCAAAATCAATAAATTAATATTTGTGGTGATATGATAAGAAAAGAAATTGTTCAACGTGTCATTGAAGAAAAAAAATTCTACTTAGTTATAGTTGATGCAACTTCAGATGTTAGTGAAGCTGAACAATTATCTATATCAATTCGATATTTATGTTATGATATTAATCAAATAGATATATAAAAGTAGATTTTATTGGATTTACACCAGTTGTAGATAATTCAGCAAAAGGTGTATCAGAACATATTATTAATTATTTACGATCAACTGGTCTTGATTTAGCTTATTTACGAGATAGAGTTTTAACTTATTGTTTTATTTATCATAATTACGTATACTTAACAAATCTAGGTCAAGGTTATGAATATTGTAGTGTTATGTTCGGACATATTGATGGTGTCCAAAAACTTATTTCCAACATTGAACCAAAAGCCGTTTCTGTACACTGTGCCAGTTATTCATTAGACCTTGCAATTTGTGATGCATGTGATGGCCGGAATATCCAAATATTTTTCGGTACCGTTAAAACAATTGTAAAATCTATTAGGGCATCACCTAAAAGGCAAAACCTATTGACGAATGCAATAACAGCTATACATTATGATACAAAAGGACAAAAATTATCAAAATTAGTTGAACATCGTTGGGTGGAAAAGCAAACTTCAGTTTAAGTCTTTAAACAATTCTTTTCTAGTATAGTGGTAGCACTTGAATATATGATTGAAAATGGGGATTCACAAACAAGTGCTAGTTCTCGGGCTTATTTAAAATCTATAACAGATTTAGATTTTATTATTTGTTTATTTGTTGTTTCACGTGTATTTGCAATTTTAAAACCATACACAGAAATGCTTCAAAGTAAAAATTGTAAATTAACTCAATGTTATGATAATATTCAAAATGTAGCTACACATCTTGCTGAATTGAAGTATAATGAAAAGAAATTTGATGAACTTGTTAATGAATTAGACGTTTTCTTACATGACAATGATATTACGTGCACAATCTCACGAACAAATAAGTTTAAAAATGTTGCTGATTATCTAAGACATACTTAGGAAATATTTGTCGAAACAACATTAGCAGAATTAGACACAAGATTCAGCAAACATCAGAAGAATATAGTTAATATTATTAATTTATTAGCTTCAACCGTTGTTGATAAAACATTAATGGATGTAAATGATATATTTGAATTTTATCGAACTGATTTACCATCGCACAATATAGATGTTGTAAAAGTTGAATTTGAGTTGTGAAAACATAAATGGAAGAAAGCTCCAGCAAATCAAAGACCATCAAATATTTTTACTACTTTAAATGTACTTCTTCCAATTAAATCTTTTTTCCTAACTTAAATTGTTTATTCGAAATATTTGCAATACTACCAGTGACTGTTGCAATAGCAGAACGGTCATTTTCCACGATGAAAAGAATAAAAACAACGCTTCGACATAGCATTGGTGATAAGCGTTTGAGCGATCTTACTTTAATTTATGTCCATCGTGATGTTGCAAACAATTTAAATGTAGAACATGTAATCGATATGTTTTCCAAGAACAAGAGGCGAATCAATTTCGCCAAACCATGAACAGAACTTTCTTTTCTTTTCTAGTTTAATTGTGAACAGATATTTGTTTTTGCATTTCATTGTTGAATAAAGGTTGAACTTAGCTTTATAGATTATTTGATTCCAGATAAATAATTAGAAACTGCTTATAAAGTAACTAGAGGCTTTTCTAGATTCACAATAAGTTGCTTCATTTTCTCTGAGTTGAGTGAGCAAGGGTTCGGACTATTTGTGTGTTGCGCACAACCCTCAGAGAAATCCTGGCTACGCCCCTGTAAATGATGAATTTTTCTAAAAAACGATAATGATGTGATAAGTGGCATATTGTTTGTTGCTATGCATACTTGATATTTTATGTGTTCTATCGGACAGCTTTTGACTTTAAAGTATTAGTTTTGGATTCAATAATGATCATCCACAAATATTTCGGATGACAGCTGAAACTTTGAGCTACAAAACAGAAAAAAACTGCGTCTTTTTTCTGTGAACATCAAGTTTTATTTAATTTAATCATCTAATTTGCTTCCATAGAAGGACAAAAACATGTGTGTATATGTACATAAAAAATTACAATAGCAACAAATCTTTTAATCATGGAAAACGCTTGCTTATGATACCTCTTTATTAATTTCTGTAATATTACACATGTAGAAAAAACGAATGTGTCCTTTGTATAGCATGCATTTCATCGATAATTTGGTTCACTCTCTATTGGTATCGCTCATGCATTTTGAAGGACATGATAGAATGAGTAAAATTATGATAATATTTGTACGAGAAAAAAATACAGTACCTTATTAAAATGCTATGTACATTTAACTAACGTATTCGGATGAATGCACAAAGGCCAAATACGTTTACGGTATACATACAGAGAGAGAGAAAGAGAAAAATTAATGCTTTAATCTATACATTAATGTATCATCATTTTGTTTGTCGACGCACACATTTTCGTACGTATGTCCTTCGCAAGTTTTCTCCTTTCACACTAGTTATTGTGTCGCTTTGAAAACATTATCTTACCAGTTTTGTTTAACTAGCAATTTCAAAGATTTGAAAGTTATTCAAGACGAAACAATTCTAAGCTTTAGATTACTTGAATAACTGACTTGTCGTTCATAGAATTTAGTATTTTTTTCTTCTTTTCACTAGTTATCAAATCTTTTCAATACCTATGAAACAGTTACCAGAGATAGGGTCGAATTTCATAGAGAAACATTTTTCTATGCAAAATGACGACTAATCTTAGGAATGATTAAGCAACTACATATAGTATGAAAAAAAAAAGTGGAAAATGCATAAAGTAACTGGAGAGGAAAAGGAAAAATTCAATTCACAGATATGATCCTAAAAAGAAGCGGGAATAAGAGTAGGAAATAGTGACTGAACAAGTCCTATGACAAGTTCTAAAAAAACCTAGGGTACAAAAATGTTGAATCTATGCAGAAATTTTTGCTTTAGCATTGATTCATTTTCTTCTAAACCAAATTTTTGCTGTTTACATAATTCGTAAGCATCAAGAATTCGTCATTATAGAGTATTTAAGTACAGTATATTAAAATCTTTGAATCTCTTAGTATTTAGTATGGAAGACTTTTCTTTCCTGCTGCATTTCATCTACATATGATTTGCTGTCATAGTACACTACTTCTTTTATCATTTTATTTTAGCACAATTTATGTGCTACGTTTCTGTATTATTTTTCTGTATAGTGTAGGAACGAAAGTCAGCTTAGAATTTCGAGTGTAATAGAACACAAGTTATAAAATGTGTATACAACGTCTTGAATACGAACACTAACACATACTTTTTCGAGCAACACAATGATCGAAAACAAGTCTGAATGATGTTCGGGTTCAGCGTAAAAAGTACGTCAAACGTACAATGCAACATCATTTGATGGCAAAGATTTATACAACTTATTCTACAGATCCTTCAACTTTTTCATACAGTTATAAATAAGATATCTAGTGCCTCTGATCTTTTATGACATAAAATAGGTAGCATATATTCTTAGAGATAGAATCGATGCATCAGTGTAGTTCTCATACTTTTGAAATTCATATTAATTACACACTATTGGCTTGCATCGTCTCTCTAGAATATTAGTATAAATGAAGCTAATTAGATGCATCTTTTATAGACCAGCGCATATTAGATGCATAGATCAGCTAAATAAAGATTGAGAACAACTATTAAATATTCTGTTTCATGGTCAACCTATCACTACCCGTCGAGTCTCTTGACGCTAACTTGCTGATACTAACACACTTTCTCAGTTTCCAAAAATTATCATTCTATAACACTGTAATTGCGCATTAAAGTGATTCTGCTTTCATTTCACATTGTGTGACATCTGGCAGATAAAGAAACATTCACGCAAACATAGACAGTGCGGTATAGGGAAATGTCAAATTCTGGAAAATAGCATTTGTTTTCTCTCGCGAAGCAAACGAAATGTAGTACTGAGACAAATTTTCAGTAAACCTCTTAGTATCATATTCAACCGTGTTTCTGTTGCTGAATATTTCAAATATGGTTGTATTGAGTGTTATCGTCTACGCTCAAGAATGCTTCTCTAGGTTTTGCTTGTATCTTTGCCTTAATTTTCTATCTCCTAACTGTCTTGGCCGCCTGTTCTTCAGTGTACTATGACAGAGTACTTCAGTTTTTCGAATGTTGCCACACTTATTCTACGTCTTTCTCAATCGTTATCTTGTCTTTACACTATCTTTTTCGTACTCATGTGCTCACGCCCTGAGTAACTCTCAGAGAAAGTACTATACAGCAGACACCGTATAATAATACTTGTTATTATTCTGCTTGTAGATGGTAAATAAAATTGTCAAGAAAAAATCCTCTAGAAGCAATTTATTGTAGTTTGCCGCATCTAGAACAAAATATCTATTGACATTTTTGACTTGGATGTCCAACTAAGACATATGCACTTTCTAAATTTTGAAGAAATAAATATGAAAGCGTTACAAGTTTATATTTAATGGTTTACAAAAATAGTATATCGTTTCCGAGAATAGAAATTGTAGATCAGGATGTCATTGACGATCGAGTTTCTGTGTAAAATCTTATAAGATTCTAGTATTCAAAAGGTTGTGTTAAGGAATGTCAGTGTCTAGTTCCATATCTATAATCACAGCCACATTATATGTTTGTATTGCTTGAGAAGATGACAACTTTGACATCGACTGTTGTGAATGCTCAATTAATGTAAACTACTTCTAGAAATCATCAAAATAGTAAAAAAAATTTTCGTCCACTTCGCCTGATGCAAGTTGTACCGAAAGTTCTTTTTAGGTTTGGATCGATTTCAACCGGAATATTCTATTATAGTGAACTTCAAGATTTATTCTAACGTATTTTAGTTGATAAGACAAGATCAGTCAACATCCTATTGTCGTTAATTGTTAATAATGATGAAATTGAAACAATTAATTGATGCTACTCATGATTTGATTTGCATTAATCCACATACATTAGAAACATATTATGAGCATTCTATTACTTTAATTACACAATCGTTGAGACTTGCAGTACAAACAAACAAATCAAATGGCTATGGTGTTATTTTTGTTATGCCTACTATTGATATACCCAAACGAGCTAAAATGGTACTGGATCATTCTACCATAAATATTTTATTGAGTAATTCATTATCAGCCATAGTTGCCAATGACTGTGAATTATTGCATTTGTTAGAATCAGCAGCTTTTCCTGTGTTTCATGTTTTCAAAACAACAACAACAGATAGAGTCTTCTCCCAATTGTGTATTCATTATTACAATTATCCTCGACGTTCTATTCGCGAAATGATTGGTGTAACTGGTACAAATGGTAAAACAACAGTAACACATATGATGGAAAAAGTTTTATCCGATGCTAAACTGACAGTCGGTTTGATTGGCACACTTGGTTATAAATGTCATGATCACGAGTGTAAAACGAATGATTACATAAACGCAGGTTACACAACACCCAATTCATGGATATTACAAACAATATTGAATGAAATGAAAAATAAATATCATATAGAAAACGTTGTCATGGAAGTTAGCTCTCATGGATTAACAGTTGATCGTGTTTATGGATGTGATTTTAGTGTTGCCATTTTCACCAATTTAACTCAAGATCATCTTGGCTTCCATAAAACAATGGACAATTACTTAAAAGCAAAGTTATTATTATTTTCTGAATATTTATCAAAATTTTTATCACCAAAAGCAATCATCAATCATGATGATCCATCCTACGAACAATTTATTAATGTATGTCCATCAAATGCTCAAGTTTATACTTATGGTTTATCAAAGAAAAATCTAAATTCCTTTGTAGCTTCAGATATTCAACATTCTCTAAATGGTACCAGTTACACAATTACACTGCCATCAGGTGAAACAAGACGCGTTCATTTAAATATCCATGGCGAATTTAATGTTTACAATTCTTTAGCTTGTATAGCGACTTGTCTTACAACTTATTCACACATATTAACATTGGATGAAACTATCAAGTCATTAGAAAGTTTTCAATGTGTTAAAGGTAGATTTGAATTTATTATACGTCATCAACCGTTCTCGGTTGTGGTTGATTTTGCACATACGCCAGACGCATTGAAACAAGTAATTAACAGTGGACGACAAATATTATTAGAATCGGCTGAAAATGGTCGATTAATTGTTGTTTTTGGCTCTATTGGAGGAGAATATCGACCATCAAGACCATTATTTGGACGCATAGCCCATGAAAATGCTGATATCGTGATAATAACATCAGAAAATCCTTGCCAAGAAAATCCACAAACAATAATTGATGACATTTTATCTGGAATTCAGCAGAAACCAGATAATGATTGTTTATATGTAGAAGCAGATCGGAAAAAAGCTATCCATTTAGCTATGGATTTAGCTAGAAATAAAAACGATTTAATAATAATTACTGGTAAAGGTCATGAAATGATTCAGACATTCGCTAACTATACGATACCATTCAATGAAAAAGAGATCATAGAGGATAAATATGAGAAGATGATGCAGGAAAATGTCTTATCGATGTAAATCTTAGAATAAACTGTTTCATTAAAATAAAAACAATAATATGTCATAAAATAAATATATAAGTCAACAGTTGTGGGTACATGTTTGATGGGTGTGGGTGTGGAGGTGGTATAGCTACTACAATACCATAAGTATTTCGATGTTGCAGACTCAATCTAATCAAGTAGCACAAGTATCAGTAGGATGTGGGTATGAGTGTGGATGTGTATACAATGAGCCTTATTCTCAATTCGCTTGTAGACCCGCAAAAATCATAAAAAGGGGCCATTTTTATCTTACTTGTTACTAAGAGCGGTTTTTTTCTTTCATCTATTTTCTACTTTCTTTCAATCGTTTCGTTGATGACGCAAATGTTCACATATCAAGTTCTTTTTTCTCCTCTCTTTGATCTTCTCACTCGTTTGATATAGTTTTTTTTATTTCTTGCAAAAAATACATCATGTTGAGATGATAGAGAAGTTAAAGGCTAACGAAATGAATATAAACTTCTTAAAAAATATTATTTAAACAAAATGAATTCAAAGAAATTTCTTTAGAATATTTTTTATACACATGAAGACAAATAATTACAATTTATTTTTAATTATTTCAGGTAACAGAAACTTGAAATAGAAATGAGTGAGTTTGTCTTTGATCTTGGACTAAACACTTTCATCATTGATAAAACGTTCAATATGAATACAGTAAAACCTCTCTAATGTGAACATCATCGGACTTTTCAAAAGTGTTCACTATACGGGGGTGTTCACTTTATAGAGGTTACGCACATTTTGCTGAGAAGTGAAGAAAAAATTCCGAACGTCTACTGCTGTACTAGTCTTCAGTCAAGCAAGAGCTATTTATTTTTTATTCATTTATTTTTATTTAAATGTTTTGTAGTTAAAAATTTTTAGATACAAGAGAGGCTTTAGTTTTATTTAAAAAAGTCTTCTAATGTCGTTTGTCTATTTGTTTTTGAACTGATATGAACATTAGTTAACTTTGATTTTAATTCATTATTTGATTCAACTTTCTGTTGCAAAGTAAGATCATGTCGTGATGACATTTTTTTAATGAATATTTGACTGCGTTTATTAGAAAAACAGAAATTATATATAGGAGAGAGATAATTAGGCGAACTAGGAAAAAAGTAGAGAGTCTTCTTCGTCTGTTTAGAAAATGAACAATAGGACGAATTGAGACAATGACCTTCTTATTCAGAACAGACGTCAGTTAGGAAAAGTAGGTCAGACGAACAAGACATGTGTAACAGCTGAACAGAAAAAAAAAGAAGTGGAGCACTATGTAACAGAGAGAGAAAAAAAACATGTACGTCTGTTCATATTAGAGAGGTTATAGTAGATAGAGGGACTGGAAAAAAGTGTTCATGTTCAGAATAGAGAGGCGTTCACAATAGAGAGGTGCATTTCCAGCAAAAATCGCTCCGTCGGACCTGAGACTGTTCAGAATAAGGAGTTGTTCACTATCGAGAGGTGTTCATTATAGAGGTTTTACTGTATCTTCATGTTTCATCACACAAAAATCAATCCAACGTAAGTCAAGAATACCTAATAAGGCAATCAGTTGATAATAATAAGGATGACCGGGACAAAGACGTAATTGACCATCATGAGGTTCAAGAGAAAAGTTCTCTCGGACAAAAATAAGATCATCCCATGTTGCAGTAGGTTCTGAAAATACACATTTGCATTCTAATATACTACATGATATAACGCCGTTATTATTTTCAATAACAAGGGCATCTGGACTGCAACAAAGATGTGAAGCTGTTGGATTCACAACGACTCCACATGGATAAATAGTTAAACAAATATTATCTCAGGATAAATTTGAATGAAGCATTCTTAAAATAGAAGAACTTACTCTTCGCTTTCTCGTATACATATCGCCGTCTACATAGCTCTTCGTTGATAATACCATGCTGAACAGCGAGATTGCAAGACAACTTATTATTTCGCTGTTGAATGATAGTTTTCAGATGAACATTTGTATCTATAGGTATGAAAGAGCTCTCGTATTTTATTCTAATAGATATATTTCAGTTGATGTACGATGAATAGGCTGCATATAATATTTCGATATTGATGATGTTAAATATTGACATGGTGGAGATGAAATTTGACCAGTGATGCGTGCTGGAATAGGTATAAAATGAGTGAGAGTTGGTTTAGGTAAAACAATAATACCAGCAGCAGTAGATTCTAGATTGTATTTTAGGAGCAGTTGACGTAAAGATGTGCTTGCCTCTGGTAAAGACATGTCGGTTTGAAGAAGCTGCAAATATTTGGGCTTGTCTTCTTCAGCTTGGTACTGTTTAAGACACATAAAATTAATATCTAACAGGTTCACTACACTCTAAAAAATAAAGGTTTTTTACAGAACTTAAAAAGGATCTTATCATCGAGACACGGTAAGATCCTTTTTTGGTTTCGTAAAAAATGGGTTTCGTACCAACCCCCTTTTCGATAATTCAACAAAAAGGTTTCGTAAGAATGGTTTCTTACGAAACTTCTCAAAAACCATTCAAAGAAAAGGTTTTGTACCAATAGTTTCGTATCATACCGCACAAAAAGAATTCAAAAAAGGTTCCGTACAAAACTATTTGCACTAAATCTTCTTCTAATTCTCTACCCCGTCAAAAATTTCATTTAACCCTCTGGTGCCGTCCGTGCTGTGCATACTATTCGAGTATTTCTGGAAATCCAAGTATGGTATAGATCAAACAAATCAAAAGTAAATTGGAATAGTCTATAGAGTAATTTTCTGCATCAATGAAGAAAAGTTACAGTATAGACTATTCCCGCTCCCTTTTGATTTATTTCATCTATACAATACTTGGGTTTTCAGAAATACTCGAATAGTATGCATACCACGACCGGCATCAGAGAGTTAAAACCAAATCCGTCGATGATTTTCATAATTGAAACAACCTATAATATAGAAATGAACAAATATAATCATTTTATAAGATCAAACTTACTGCATTATTTTTGTACTTGGATCAATCTATCATAAACAAATAACGACATTTATTTTATTTCATAGAATCAGTCTTACCTAAATTCCATATCGAGATTAACCTAGAATTAAAAAAATGAATAATTCTTTTGATTTTTTAAGATAAAACTTACCTAAAAGTGCGTATATACATCAACCTAGAACAAAAAACTAAACAAATTTATTAAATTTCATAAGATCAAACTTGCCCGAAATTGCATCTTTGAGGCAATCTATAATTAAACTAAACAAATTTGTACGTAGGTGAAGTTAGCAGTCGATTTCAGTGTTTCCAGCAGCGATCCACCCAGGAACCTGTTCCAATTGTTCCAGCCCTGTTCCAAGTACAACTCGATGAGATCTATTCAATGGTGTATTCAGATTTTTCATAGCCCAAACAATGGTTCCAAAAATCCCAAAATACTGCATTTTCTTATGAAAATTCTGACAGCCGAGTCGAGTAATTGCAGCAGTGATTCATTCAGAAACATGTTCCAAGCGTTCCAGCCCCGTTCCAAGTAGAACTCGACGAGCTCTATCCAATGGTATACTCAGAGGGTGTGGGTGTGCACGTGGATAGTCGGAAATGAGAGTAGTAACACCCACACCCATACCCTGTTTAAAAATCTTTGATATCATTTATTGAAAATTTTCTCATAGATATATATTGACTTATATAGTTGACTAAGATTATATTTAAGTTAATTGTACTTGAAAATTTTACATATGCAAATGTTCATCAAAAATTTTTTAATTCTAATATCGAATTATGTAACTCAATGTTATTTCATATTTTTTAGAGTTACATTATCCTAGTAGATATAAGATTAAGTATTCCACCTGAAGAAGTCCTGCCAAGACAGAAACAACGCTGTCGTGGACGGCGACCTATTCTAATACACACCCACACCCATCTTGTTGATCATTTTGTTCTAACAGTTGGAGATTAAGTTGACGAACTGATCTATTTGTGTTTCTACCTAAAGATATTTGTGACGAAAACCATGATTTAATTACTAATCAATAAATATTAATAAAATACCTGTAATATATATATCTTGTTAATATTCGAGAATCAATTGGAAAAAAATTCTAATATCAAAGTAAACATGATTAAAAGTGCACGAATGAATATTTAAGGTGATCTAAAAGTACTAGTAAAGGCACTTTTTACTTACGCATAGAAACTTTGAAGAAATTTTTTCAATATTGTTATAGCAACAACAATATTCTATTTTTTTCTAGATTTTGATCCTTTCCCAACTCATGTCATAAGAATAAAACTTTGATAAAAATTGTTTTTTCTTTTTTGTGTGTAAAACTTAACTGTAGCTTTAGATCATACTATCATTCACGTATATTCTTTGTTTTTCTTTTCTTTCTGTTTTTTGTATGCCTCTTTCAATTGTCAATCGTCGATAGATGGATCTGTACACATATTAAGGCCCAACCCCCACCCAAAATTTTATTTTTGCCATAAAACATCGAATCTTAACGAAATTTTCAGAGTAGATGTATCTTGGGCTGGGCACCTTGTGATAAAAATTTCAGCCTGAAATCTTAAGGATTCCAGGAGATAGCTTAATATTAAGGTCCAAAACATAGGTCTTCGTGCGTCCCAGATTTCTCCGCCATTTTGAAAGCTAGAAAGCTCGGGTTTGTTTTAAAATGTAGCCAATATCTAGGACTACAACTTAACAGAGTCCGATTTTTTAATTTTTCTTTAGCTTAGTTTTTAGAGAACTTCTACGTCATGATATGAAATCAGTAGGGTGTAAATTCTCAAACATTTCCCCCTCATCTGACATCTATCATGAAATCGAAAAATCGAGCTCTGTTAAGTTATAGCCCCAAGTGTTGACTACATTTTAAAACAAACCCGAACTTTCTAGCTTTCAAAATGGCGGAGAAATCTGGGACGCACAAAAACGTAAAATCAAAAAATCTCCTTTCGAGAAAAACGCAAAATACCTTTTAGAAGTGTATTTCATGACTTTTCATCCAGTTATAGTGTTTTTCGATCATCTTAAATAATAAAAGACACTTTGAACTCATTATGGGTGAAGATATTACGACAAAAATTTATTAGAAAGTTCATCGAAATGATCTTAAAAACCAGATTTTAGGATGTGGGTGTGGGTGTGGGTGTGGGGTGGGTGTGGGTGTGGGTGGGTGTGGGCTGTGAGTGGGTGTGTAGGTGTGGATGTGGGTGTGGGTGTGGGTGTGGGTGTGGATGTGGATGTGTGGGTGTGGATGCGGGTGCGGGTATGAGTGTTGGTATCTTCACGCATATCCACACTCACAGTCACACCCACACCCACTCACCCACACCCACACCCACCCACACCCACCCACACCCACTCACCCACACCCACACCCACCCACACCCACTCACCCGCATCCACACCCACTCACCCACACCCACACCCACCCACACCCACTCACCCACACCCACACCCACCCACACCCACACCCTAAAAGATTCGTATTACTTTTTTCTTTCGTATACTTCGAATTCTGTTTTTTGGATCAAAGCAAACACGATGAAAGTATAGAGAACGAACGTAAAAGAAAAACAAATATATATCTCGCTACGTGATAGAATCAAAGTCAAGACAACATTCTGTACAATAGAAAGAAATATATTTTACCGTTACAAGTTGAAATGCGCAAAAAAAATTGAATTATTCGAAAGACGTCTTTTTTCATGGGTAAAGGTTTTAAGAAAAACCTCTGTAAAACCATGAAAAACCGTCGTAAACAAAATAAACTATAGTGCATTCGATAGCGAACGTGATGCTCTATCACATGCGCCATTAAAAAAAATCGATAAATTTGACAAAAATCAACTTTTTTTGGGTGGGGGGTGGGCCTTAACACACATGTCTTGCTTATTTTGTGTGTACATGAAGTTTATTCATGAAGTTTTCAAGAAAGTCAAAGAAATCAAACTTAGTTTAGACTTTCAAATTGTTTATATATTTCGGATGAATACTGAGAAATTTCGTTTTTAAATTCAAGTGTGTAACACGTTTAACGCATTCAAGTTAAGTCATTCATGACGAATCCTTATGCCCGTTAACATCTGATCGATTTTTGAATGCACTGAATATGTTAACAAAATTTAGTAAAATTTGAATAAGTAACATGGCACTTATATG